GGGAAACTATTCTGACAACCAGGGTCTCTGATAAAGGATTCATTTCTAAAATATATGAAGAACTGATTCAAACCTATAAGGATACAAGTCATTCCCCAATTGATAAATGGTCAAAGGATATGAACAGTTTTCAGATGAAGAAATTAAAGCTATCTATAATCACATTAAAATGCTCTAAATCACTATTAATTAGAAAAACGCAAATTAAAATAACTCTGAGGTACCACATCACACCTATCAGATTGGCTAACATGACAAAACAGGAAAATGACAGATGTTGGAGAAGATGTGGGAAAACTGGAACACTAATACACTGTTGGTAGAGTTGTGAACTGATCCAACCATTCTGGGGGAACAATTTGGAACTATGCCCAAAGGGCTATAAAATTGTGCATATCCTTTGATCCAGCAATAGGCCTGTATCCCAAAGAGATTGTAAAAAAAAGAAGGGGGGGGAAGGACCCACATGTACAAAAATATTTATAGCAGCTCTTTTTGTGGTGGCAAATAATTGGAAACTGAGGGAGTGTCCATCAATTGGGGAATGGCTGAACAAGTTGTGGCTTATGAATGTAATCAAATACTATTTTTCCATAAGCAATGATGAACAGGCAGATTTCAGACAAACCTGGAAAGACTTGCATGAACTGATGCTGAGTGAAGTGAGCAGAACCAGGAGAATGTTATACACAGTAACAGCAACATCGTGCAATGACTAACTTTATTAGACTTAGCTCTTCTGAGCAATGAAATGACCTAAGACAATGCCAAAAGATTCATGATGAAAAATGCTATCCATATCCAGAGAAAGAACTAAGGAGTCTGAATACAGGTCAAAACTGACTATTTTTTTTCTCTCTCTTCTTTTTTTGTTTTTCTTTCTCATGATTTTTTCCCTTTTGTTCTGAATCTTCTTTCACAACATGACTAATGTGGAAATATGTTTAATATTATTGTATATATACATAGCCTATATCAGATTGCATGCCTTCTTGGGGAGGGGGAAGGGAGAGAGGGAGGAAAAATGTAGAACTCAAAATCTTATAAAAGTGAATGTTGAAAACTAAAAGTAAATAAATAAATAAAACTTTCAAATAAAGAATAATTAAAAGAGAATATGACTAGCCAAGGTTCAATTTTGGAGGCATCTCATAAATCACTTTGTGTGTATTTTTGCCCCAAATCAGGGATTCTATGGGGGACATCAGAATTTGATTTATGCCTAAGTATCTAAGGAAATTATATAGGACGCCTGGACCCTCGCATTTGGGGTAATATATGAATATAAGGAAGATTTTGTTTACTCTGACTGAAAAATGACAACATATATGTGTGTGTGTGTGTGTGTCCACACAAAGACTTGCATCTGACTTCACATTAAATCAAAGCTGCCTCTCAAAACTCAGCCTTTTTGACCTCTCTGTAGCCTTTGTCACTATTGGCCACCATCTCCTCATGAATATTCTTTCTGCTTTAGTTTTTTATTAAATACTGTTCTCCCCTGATACTACTACTACTACATGTCTGGCAGCTCCTTCTTTACCTCCTGTGCTGGATCTTCATCCATGTTATCCCTATTAACTATACTTGTCCTCTAAGACTCTGTCCTGGGCCACCTTCTCATCTTACCCCCCTCATCTTTTTGCTGATCATCCCCAGATCCATATATCCAACTCCTGTCCCTCTCTTGATCTCTAGTTGTACATCCCAAATACTTTTTGAAGATAAACTAGATGTCCTTTGGCATCTCAAACTCTGTCAAAATGGAACTCATGATTTTCCTCTTCTAACCCTTACCTTTTCCTAACTTGAGTATTATTCTCAAGGGCACTACCATCTTCCTGGTGACCCAGACTCACCACCTTGGTGCTACCTTCTTACCTCACATATACATTATGCTGTCAATTCTTGTCATTTCTATCTTTGCAATATGTCTTACTCTTCTCTCCATTCACACACCCAACAACCCAATGCAGGCACTCATCTCCTCTCAGCTAACTATTTCTATACCATTCTTATTGGACTCCTTGCCTCAAGTCTCTTTTCACTCCAATCTGTCCTCCAGTCAAAATTGTTTACAAATTAAGTGTTACAAAATTCAAAGAACAATCTTGATCTTAAAGAAGAGATATGACTAGACAGCTCTCTCCACCCCTTTGCAGAAGTATGTGTTCATAAGTGTGGAACATTGTACATATTATCAGATTGCTTTGGTGTATTGATCATTTTTTGCTGATTTTTTCAGCTTTTTTTCTTTTTAAAATAAATTTTTTATTATATGGGATGGCTCTCTTGGAAGAGGGAAGGAAAGACTCGGGGGAAATTTAGACAATGTAAAAACAAAATATGCCATTTTTTAAAGAGAGATCACTGGTAACTTTGAAGATAGTAGTTTCATTTGAGTGATGAAGTGAAAAGCCATATTGCAAAGAGTTAATAAGTCAATGAGGATAAAGGCAGTAGAAGTAGCAAGTGTAGACAGTTGTTTTTTGGTTTTTTTTTTCCTGTAAGAGTTGGGTTGTGGGGGGAGGAGAGGAAAATTATAAGACAATAACTTGAATGGAAGATCAAATAAGCATTATTTTGTTTAATTTATTTTAAGGAAGAGAAAGATATAAATAAGCTAAGAGTCAGGACCCTTCTCAGTCAATATGATCAAAATCCTGGACATATGAGATCTTACGATCTTATGAACTGTGTATGCAGACCTTAGAGAAAAGAAGGACTGTCATGTGGGAGCTGATTGCATGTGTTCCGCTGGGCCCCAGTGAGCAGAACTATAGCTATTGGGTTAAAGTTGAAATAAGATGCATCAGGAGGTAGGTTTGCCCTCAACAGGGATCTTCAAATGAAGACTGAAGGTGATTTTTTTTGTGTGTGTATAGAGGCAATTCTTGGTCAAGTGGAGACTGGATGTGTGGCCTGCTTGAACTCCTGTGATTCTTCTGCACTTTCAGTTCAGGACCCTTTCCACTGCATACTACTCACTCTCTCCATAAATCGCAAATATATTCTATTGGAAACTGGAGGATAACTAGGAGATTACAAGGCACAAGAAACTTGAATTCAGTAACGATTTGAATTTGGTTTTTATTCTGTTATCAACTGATGTCTACCACATCAAATATACATGCGCTTAAACAAAGAAAGCTCTAGGGAAAACTGTGAAGCAGGTGAAGTGAAGTCTTGGTACCTGTGGCCTCCCTCTGCATGTAAAGCTTTCTTTATCTTCCACATCCACTTCTCCCTAATGGTTTTGTGTGCCCTGGGCTCTCTTGCTGCCCCCAACCTTGCTGTTTCCATGAAAGAAAGCCTCTAATTAATTTGCCCCGAGTTGTGAATGACTTGACATTTGATTCCTTCCACAAGTTTTTGTATTTTGAAAGAAAACAGGCTTACCCCCCCAAAGCAGAGGGTAGTGCTGAACTAAGGGTGTAATTGTTTCTCCTATATGAGGAAATCATCAAAAGGTTGAGGGATTTTACCAGTGATCCTCAAATTATACTTCATGGGCAAACATTTACTATACTTATATAGGCTGAACTTCACTTTCTAAATATGATGGGATTATTCTTCAATGAGTGGAGGCCTCAAGAAGCTTACCAACCATTTTTACTGTGAAAATGTGAACACATATTGGGGGAAAATATGAAAAGCAATAGAATATTGTAGGGAAAATGTCTGAATGCCTAGAGAAAAATCGTCACATCAACTACTGAACTAATAAGCAGTACATGGAGCCTCGTAGCTTCTCTTTCTTAATGTTCACCTAAATTCTGGAGACTTTATTGCTGTTTTTACAGTAGTATATAATTCATCTCTACTTGTGTCCGATACTCCAGTTAAAATGATCATCCATAAGACTACAAACAATTGAACAAATGTATGGATTTTAAAAATGTACCAGAGAGCTAGGAAAAGAGCTGCAGCTCGGTACAGTGGACAGAGAGCTGGCCTCAAAATCAGGAAAGACCTAGGTTCAAATTCTGAGGAAGGCCTTTCGTCTCTTAGGGCCCCAGATAATCCATGATTGTGTAAACTGCAGATCAATGCCCATTTGCACTGGGGAAAAGTTTCCTAACCAGGAAATTCCCTATACTAACAGTCTAGGAAATCACAAGTCTGGTCTCACACATTCAACAAACATATACAGAAGTAGAGGGTGAAAAGCTTAAAAGAGAAACTCAGGTAGCCAGATAAAGAATTCTCCCACAACTACATTTTTCTGGTAGGCAAATTAAAAAAAAAATTTAATAGATTTTTTTCTTCTAAGATTTAAAGAATTTAAAAATAAGCTTTTTCCCCTTACCAATTTTTTTCAATTAAAAGGAAGAGAAGTTTCTATCTCATATCCACATACTTTAAATTAAGTAAATTCTTTCTTTATACATATAATCCACACTAGAGCTCTGAGATATCCAAGCATGTTTTAAAATTAATTTTTAAGGTTATCAAAACATTCCTATAAAATAAGACATTTAAGATTAAAATAAAAAAGAATTCTCTTTGTAGGTTATTCAGTTTTGTAGCTGGTACAGACCAACCTCATCATTTACAAGAAGATGCCATCTACTGAGCAAAAGTGTAATTTGCATGTAAGTTCTATTTTGCTCTAAATCCTCAACCCCTTCTCACTCTCTCTCTCTCTCTCTCTCTCTCTCTCTCTCTCTCTCTCTCTCTCTCTCTCTCTCTCTTTTTCCCCTCTAACTCTCTCTCACACTACCTCCCTCCCCTCCCTTGGCAATTGCAGAAAGCACTGAATTTATCCATTTAGCTTTTGTACTTTACCCTAACTCACGGCTATATACCTGATAAACTACACTGACTCAAACAGAAAGAAAGCAATATGTGTGCATATATTCATGCACAAATACATCTGGATACTTATGTGTATAATTTATCCTAGTCAACTAAGTAGAAGCAATGTAATTAAATTTGGAAATTAAATTGATTTTATAAAATCTCATTTCAAAATTGCTTGATGACATTAAATTGCTTACCTCAGCGGCTTCTATGGCTTCTTTAATTGACATTTTTCTCTGATCCAAGTTTGTTTTTACCTCAATCATCTGTCTTTTAATTTTTTCTTTGCGCTCTCCCATATTTTGAATTGTCTAGAAATATTCAGATATTAAAATGTGCTACTAAAAAGTCCAAAGTTATCCTGTTTTTGATCAAGTATTTAAACACTAAATGACTACTTAAAAATAATTGAATTTATTTTGTCTCCAATGGAGGAAAGATATACATACTATTTGTAACCTACCTGTAGATTTCATAGGGGATAGAGACTGGACCTGGGATTTTTTTGATATGGGAACTTCCTTCATTTCCTTTAGGAAAGTAAGGAAACTCCCTTTACTAAATTAGGTAGGTACTTTCTCTGCAATTTACATTCTTAGAAAGTTTCCTGGAACACAAAAAGATTGAATGGCTTTCCCAGGGTCACAGAGCCATCATGTATCAGAGGGAGAACATTAACTTAGCTCTTGCTGCCTTCACTGCTCCCTCCCTATCCCCTATATCATGCTGCCTCTACTGGATTATGAACACTTGCAAACGTATCTATTCAACTCTCTATCTGAATCCTCTCAGAAAACTAAAAGTTAAATGTATGAATAAAAGGCTAAAAATATTGAATGATTCCTATATGCCACAAAGAAATCACAAAGTTTCATTAAAATATTTAGATATATAAATATAAAATATTCAGATATACACATTTGCAAGAATTAAAATGTAAGGTTCAATTAATCTAAAAGCGAAAATATTTACATGAATATATATTAGAAAATTTGGTTTCCACACAGTTGTCGTAATGTAACTGATGGAATGTCCTTAAGATTCAGGAACTGTAAACCAAAAGGGCAATCAGAAGAAAAAAGATGGTTATGGAAATACTATGAGAGATGGGTCATCTTTTTTTTGACAAACAAATAGTATTCATTAATCCAGACTGTAGTTAATTAGCATAATAAGAAAATTACAACTATCAATGCAAAAGACATATTTTAGTCATTCACGCAAATTTGGGGTAGTAATACTGAAATGCTTTATTCCTATAGGTTTACACAATAGTATAATGAACAATTTTTAATTCAAACCTAAAAATACCTTTCAGGATTCAGCTCCTACAGCTAATTTCCCCAGTTGTTTGTGCTTTCCTCACCTAGAAATTACTATTTTGTATGTACTTTACTCTTCTGTGTACCTTTTGTATCTCCCTAGTAGGAGGAACCCCCCTGAGAAAAAAAAAAGATTAATTTTTGTCTCTGTATCCCTACAACCTTAAATAATGCCACCTAGTAGACAGCCACTTACTTGGTTTGTTGAACTGAATTGTTGTATGAGATTACAAAGTTATGGACTCATTTGAAAAGTAGATTTATGTTATCAGTATATCCAAATGAACATGTGACAATAAGAAGGTATGAGTTTCTTCCATTAATGATGGAACGCAATGTTTTTGCATTGTTTGCTTTCAAATTTTTAGAAAGAACACATTTTTCAGGAAGGTTCTAAAAGTTTTCTATCTGAGCTGTTAAGACAAATTTCACCTTCTGGCATAGGACAAGTGTGTGCATGTGTAGATAGAGAGACAGAGACAGAGAGATGTACATGTGCATGCATATATATGTGTGTACATATACATAAATATATGTACGTGTATATGTGTGTGAATGTATGTATATGTGTGTATGTATGTCAGACCTGCACAACTTGTAAACTTCTTCAGGCCCCAGACAGGTTAGACTAGAGACAGACTGATGACAGCTGGTCACCCCGGATGACGTGACAAACAGGAGGGTATTTAGTGGCAACCCTATATTTTTCAAGGGCCTTAGGAAATCCTCTAGTGGGCCGCCATGTTGTGCAGGCTTGATATATGTATATACACACACACACACATACATATACATACACACATAGATAGATAGATAGATAGATAGATAGATAGATAGATAGATAGATGATAGATAGATAGATAGATAGATAGATGGATGGATGGATAGATTTCAGACCACTCCCCTTTAGGTTTCCAAAAAGACTGATAATAGAATGTTTCCACTAAGTTTTACTTTGGGAAAGGCTGATAGCTTTAGTTATTACCATTAATTAATTGTTTTAAAAATACTTGTTTCTTTTAAGAATAGGCACTTCAAAGTTCATTACTGAAGGCATCAAAAAAATTTAGCCAGTAAATAGTAAAAGAGGCAATTTATGCTCTTTATGTCAGATTTCTCACAAAAATCTCATTTTAGAGAGTTGATTCTTCCATGTTTATAAAGAATTATTCTCAGAGCATACAAAAAGTGCAAGCTTCAATAAGCAGAACAGTTTACACTTTGAAAACACAGGAACCAACATCATAATTATCATGACAGAGTGTCATAATATAGTCTTTCTGCATGTGATTTAAAAGGAAAAAAACTGCAGCTAAGACTATACAAAAAGCAAAAGTGATAATGATATGTCATAGTAATGAGCAAGGATAATAAAAATATTTAACTCCTTAAAGAATTTTAGTAGTTTTTGTTTTGTTTTGTTTTGTTTTAGCAAAGCTAGTGGTGAACATAAATCATGGGTTATAAAGATTTAAATGAGCACAGGTGTTATTTAGTAATTTACTTCAAAACATTAGACATTTCCCTGGAATTCCATAAATAAAAGTATGGATTAGACCAGTGCCAATGAATTCCAGAGATGATAACAATTGATAAGAGGGTGATCCTGCAGGGGATTAAGAAAAATTAAGTCCCAATTATTTATTCAATCAATCAATTAGCATTTATCAAGCTACTATAAGTTCTAGGTAGGCAAAAGATAGATATGACTTTGGGAGAAAGAGGGACTGAAGGAAGGAAAGAAGGAAGGAAGGAAGGAAGGAAGGAAGGAAGGAAGGAAGGAAGGAAGGAAGGAAGGAAGGAAGGAAGGAAGGAAGGAAGGGAGGGAGGGAGGAAGGAAGGAAGGAAGGGTGGGAGGGAGGGATGGAAGGAGGTAGAGAGGGAGGAAGGTTGGATGGACAGTTTGACCAAAGCAGAGTTCAGTTTGGGAAGTAAGACTGAAAGGAAAGTTGTTCAAAACACTCAAAGCATGGAAATCTGAGTTAAGTTCACAATGCCTCGAAGCTATTAACTCCCCTAACTCAATTCTACTAAAAAGTTTTAATCATATCTTTACCATCCATGTTTTTTTTTCTGGTTATAGAGGCAGCTTAACCAGTTTATTTATTCAAAATTTATATATGTATTTGTAGATATTTAGACTAGAAATCACCTTATTTCATCACTGATTAGTTGTGGAGCATTTGACAAGTCACCTCATTTATGTCAAAAGCATTTACTAAACACTACTACTGTATCTATTGGGGCAATATCTGAAGTATTTAGGATACAATGGCAAAAAAATAAGCCCTTATTTCAATGTGTTTACATGCTTCCGTCCTGAAACAAAACGATGATTAAATAAATACAAAATATATGTAAAATAAATACAAAGTAATTTTCCAGTTCAAGAGCACTAGTAACTGGGTACGGAGTGGAGGGAGTGCAGGAGCCAATCAGGCTAAGTACCACAGTGGATCATGGTTCTCCTTGAGCAGGAGTTAAGAGTAAAGGCAAGGGACAGAATATGGAACACTGTGGGCTTTGGCCTATGCCAAGTATGCCAATTTGTTTTTTGTTGTTGTTGAGTCATTTCAGCCGTGTCTGACTCTTCATAACCCCAGTTGGAGCTTTCTTGGCAAAGATACTGAAGTGGTTTGCCATTTCCTTCTTCAGCTCACTTTACAGATGAGGAAACTGAGGCAAAGAGGGTGAAGTGACTTGTCCAGGGTCACACAGGGAGCAAGTAACTGAGGCTGGATCTGAATTCATGAAGAAGTGTCTTCCTGACTACAGGCCTGGCATTCTGTCCATGGTAACATCTAGCTGCCCAATTCTAGCCAATTTGGCTAGAAAATAATAAGGCTGAAAGAGTAATGTATAATAAGCCTGGAAAAATAGGCTTAAGAGAGATCATGAAAGGTTTTCAGAGCTAAATAGAGCTATCTGTATTTGATCTAGTCAGAGTCTTTGCAACTTTTTGAGCAGAGTAGTGATGATGATGGCATCATCATCATCATCATCATCATCATCATCATCATCATCATAATCATCTCCACTAGCATTGACATACCACCACTTTGAGGTCTGCAAAGCACCTTAGAAATATTATCTCATTTCATCTTCACAACAACCATGGGAGGTAGGTGCTAGTATGAATTGCATTTTACAGATGAGGAAACTGAGGCAGGTGGAGTTTAAGCCACTTGCCCCAGCTAACACAGCTAGTAAGTGTATGAAGCCAAATTTGAATTCAGGCTTTCTCATTTCAAATATAGCACTGTTCATTGTGCCACTTAACTTTGTAGTCTAGACCTATCAGATTTGTCTTTTAAGGAATATCAATGTTGGCAGCCATGTGGATGATGGATTAAAAATGGAGACCTATCAAGGGGCTATTAAACAATCCAGGTGAGAAGAGATGAGAACCTGACTTAGGTGACTGAAGAGAAAGGGGTCCGATAGGAGAGATGCTGTTATAGGTAGAATCAGCAAACTTGGTATGTGATTGGATATGCGGAATAAGGAAGAAAGAAGAGTTGAAGATAATTCCGAGGTTATGGAACATCCAGCTGGTAACATCTAAGAAGCGCTTAGTGATGTGAGACAGGGGGAGTTCTGGAGAATCATGTACTGACCTACACATTTGCACCTTTTAAATCTCTCTTCCCCCTATTTTGTATAGCAAAATAATACCCACTAAGATGTCCCGTTTGTCTTGCTAACAAGTTGGTCACTCCTTTATCAATACCTTAGTGTGTTCTTCTTCGATATTTTTGACTTTTTCAGCTTCTTCTAATAGTTCAAGAAAAGGTGCTTCGATATCAGCAAATGCCTGTAAAACTTCACTTTTCTTTCCTTCCGTGTATTTTTTCTCTTCTTGTTCTATCAAGACAGTTGCCATTCGATTCTATTGATAAAAATGAAAAGAAACTGATACGTGAGAATCAGAAGTGAAATGTCATCAAGGAAAATGGATGAAAAGGCTTCATGTGAAAATACAGTAAAGACCTACACCTAACAAGATGTTTGCATTCTCTCCAGCTACCACATCAATCTGCTAACGCACAGCACACATTCTGCAGCGTTCTCTCATTCCCACCTAAGAAAGTGCACTCTTTAGCTCAGCACTCGATGCCCTCCATGCTCTGACTCCAACCTTTCCTTTCCACTTTGTCCCATATTAGTCTCCTTTATGGATCCTAGTCCATGCTAGAACTGAACTACTTGGCATTCCTCAAAGAAGTCCTCTGCTTTTCTACCTTTGTGTGTGGGCACATGCTGCTCCACCTGCCTGAAATGCCTTGCCTCCATCCCCCATCTGTAGAATTCTCAGCCCCTCTTTAGGGTCCAAGTCAAATGTCACCATCTCAATGAAGGCTTCCCTCATTCTTATAGCCAGAGGTGATCCTTCCTTTCCTTTGAACTTGCAAATTAATTTCTTTATGACTTTTTTATATACACATTATTATAGGAAAACTACAGAACCTAAGAGCTTGCCTCAGAGCATGAAGACCTGGTCTCTGGGACTATATAACATACTGGCTGTGTGAACAGACAAATTACTTACCCCTCAATACCCTCAGGCAACTGTCTAAGAACATAAATGGAAGATCATGTAATGAGCAGCATAGATGCACAGAGTTTCCTCACTCCCAGATCTGGGTCTTAATTGGTCCAGGGAAGTCTCAATGAGGGAATTCCACCTATCTATTAATATACACAAATCTATTTATTGTTTAGTCATTTTCAGTCATTTTTGACTTTGTGACCCCATTTGGGGTTTTCTTATCAAAGATACTGGAGTGGTTTGCCATTTCCTTCTCCAGCTCATTTTATAGAGGAAGAAACTGAGGCAAACAGGGTTAAGTGACTTGCCCAGGGTCACACAGCTAATAAATGTCCGAGGTTGGATTTGATCTGTCCACTGTACCACCTAGGTGCAACATACACATATACACATATGCATATAGACATATAGATACAAATATCTTATATCCTATATAACATATATAATACTGAAGCTTAAAAATAAATCCAGGCATTGGGGAACCCTCCGTGTGTGTATATACATATACACATATACAAACACATATACACATAGATATGTTTGTATATATTTACACATATATAACTATGTAGTCCCTTTCCTCCTCCATGGAGCTGCCTGATGTATGTGTACTTATATATGCATGTATGTCTTTATCTCATTCCCATGGTGCCTTGCACATTGCAAGCAGCAAACATTCTCTAAAACGTATTTTTATATTTTTTCAAAAGAATTATCAAAAAAATACCATAAAAACTGCAAGCCCAGCAATATTTACATTGACTGCAGACTTGATCCAAAGTTAGTTAGATACATGGAAAATAAGTATGACCAAATTCCTTTAAAGCAATACAAAGATGAAAAATTACACTAAAATTAAGAATTGAGGGAGTTATACATTTTTAACTTGAAAGAACACCTGGAGAATATTAGTTTTGTCTAAAATCAATCCCCAAATTTTCTACAGTCTTGAAGGAGTTTGGTGGCACAGATAATTCCAGTAGCACTTAACTTTAAAAAATCAATTACATACTGGACTCTCGGGGTAAAATGGGCTGTACATTTTTGGACAGGAAGAGTGTGGGAATTTTTTTGTTAGGTTATACATATTTATTACAAAGGGGGGTTTTGTTTGCTTATATTTTCTCATAGAGTGAGCAGAGTAAGGAAGGGAGAAAAAACTGAATACTTGTTCATTTAAAATTGTTTTATCTTTTAAAAATTAGTTATATTCATCTGTGGAGTGCACATAGGATTTTTTTTTCTTTTGCCTTCTTTATCATACTTTTCCAAGGATATTTTGTGTATATATACCATGTAATTTGGCATGTGTTCCACGGCAAAAGAATTCAGTCAAAAGTGAAACACTTTCCAGAGACCATTCAGCTGGGCTAGATAAGCCTAAGCTTAAAAAAATTTCTTACTAAAGGAATGTATTCTTCAATGATATTCTGTTCAGGGTTAAATAAAGAAGCTTAAAAGGAACAAACTAAAAGTAAAGAATGTCATCATCACATAGCTAACAAGGCACTTGAACATTTAGGAATAAGATCCTACTGCCCTTTGACTAGACTGGCAGAAATTCCCATTAGTCTACAAAATGAGCTATGGGGACTGGAGGTCAGTTTCTTCATGCATGGTCAGATATTGCCAGTTGTACAAAGAAGGCAACTGTCATCAGCAAGAGAGAGAAAAGTGCTTGCCTGCAATTCACTTGGTGAAAAGATGCTTCATTACAGGGAGATTTTAAAGGCTAAAATAAAATGCGCAACATAAAGCAAATTCAGACTTTTTTTTTTACCTTAACCATTAGTCCAATTCCTGCTTGTTCTCGGATTAGCTTTTTAAAGTATGCTTCCAGGAACTAAAAAGTGTCAAATAAAGTAATAAATTAGTGTTTCAGTCTAATGAACAATACAGTTTTCAGAGAAAAAGTCTACCGAAAAAAATGTAAGCTATAACCCAGAGTTACACACTCATCTTTAATAAAGTAGGTCCCATAAAGCAAAAATGAATTTATGTAATTGGAGACAAAGCATTTTAGAGAGAAGCACTTTGTCTATGGGAAAATAGACTCCCAAAGTAATTTTAAGCCTAGTTTTCTTAGTGGATTATAACCAAATGTACTTCTGTAAGAGATAATAAATCAAAATGATCAAAAAAGCAAACTATGTCCTATACTCCCATTTCTTAAAGCTGCTACTCTGAAAGTTTTCCTCATCTTATTAACTCATTCATTTTAAAAGCTAGGAATGCATAGCAGGATAGGATCCAAGGTTTTAGTATGAGAATTTAAGTCTTCAAGTTCCTAGAATAATACTGATTTTTTTTTTTAATAAACTCTACAGAGTGGCAGGTAAATTGAGGGAATGGCTTGGCTCTTGGACCTATTAGCAGTTATTGGGAGAGACTATGAGTAATGGATGAAAAGGACAAATCTGTAGTTTATAGGGTTAATATAGGTATTAACTTTCCAAGAGTTAGAACTGTCCAAAAATGATCTTATGAGATCATAGGATCATAGATCTAGATCCTGAAAGAACTTTAGAAGGCGTTTTGTCCAAGCCCCTCAATTTATAGATGAGGAAATTGAGCCTTAGCAAGGTCAAATGACTTGTCCAAGGTACCACAGTGACAGAATTGGCATTTTCACCTGGCAACTGGGCTTTCTGACACCTGGCACCTTTTCTATTAGGAGTTCCCTGTCAACGGAGTTCAAAAAGACTGGATTTGTTGGTGATGTAGTATGTGCGTGTGCCAGGCAGAGATTGGGGTTAGTAGAGTTACTAGAGTACCTTTGAGATCCTTTCCAATGCCAAGAATCTGATTACTCTCCAAGCTATCCTATGTGAAATAAACGAATGTCACTGCTAATTCACCATCAATATGATCTAGCTTAATAGTTAACTTTACACACTGAAGCCCTGAGGCTTTTTCTGAAGCATGGAGTTAAATTGGAAATAGGCACACACCCATGGCTCTAAGCTAGGGGTGAGGAATCTGCTGTCTGGAGGCCACACATGGCCCTCTAGGTCCTGAAGTGCAGCCCTTTGACTGAATCCAAACTTCATAGTATAAATCCCCTTAATAAAAGAATTTGTTCTGTAAAACTTGGACTCAGTCAAAAGGCCATACCCAAGGACCTAGAAGGCCACATATGGCCTCAAGGCTGCAGGTTCCCCACCTCTTAAGCTACACCACACAAGGGAATGTTTTTTGTACCTCCTCTACATACCACCCTGCTCAGACTGAGAGCTGCAGAGAAGAAGAAAGGGCCTGCTCTTTGACCCTGGCCCTCACAAGTGACCCACATCAGATGATTAGAAATGTAATTACTTTAAAAGTCCCTTTACTTAAGAAAGAAATAAGTATGATTTAAAAGGATGTATAAAGGCGGGGGGGGCAATAAGACATTTGATTGAAGGATAGACTTCTATTTGTACTAATGAATGGAAGTCATGTTACACATTAGACTGCAACAGAAATTAATTGAAGCTACATTGATAATGTGGCCACAATTCTCCTCATCTGTAAATTGAGGGTCTTGGACTATACAACTTCTAAGATTCTCTCAGGTTTTAAATCTATGATCCTATGATCTCATAAGAGCATCTCTTGGACAGCCCTATTCAAAATAACTGTTACAAGTACAAGTTCACACTATTGGTTAATTGATTAATTAATCAATTTAGAGGTTAATAAAAATGAGAAAAATTCAATGTTTTTGTAGATCAAAGCCTCAAAACATACCTGTATTTAGAAATTAAATGTTCCATAAGACTAATATATGCTCTTTCTCATCTCACATTAGAAATTTCTCAATTAAAAAGTTTAATTTCTCATCTCTGTTAGGAAATCACTGTATAAGTCTAATTAAAAACATAGTTGTGTTCTACTTGATTGAAATTTTTTGCTTATTTGCTTGGTTACAAGCTAAACAATAATGAGTTACTATAAATAGTTCTCTTCTCTAAGCATAAACAAGTCAAATTTCAAGAATCCAAAGTACTTTATAAACTTTGAGTCAATGGGTAAATGTGAGTCATAACAACAACAATAATGACAATGATAATAACAACTATTTGGAAAGTACTTACAGATGTAATTATGGACCATTGCCAACAATCATTTGGAAACTGCAAAATGGGTAAAATGTGGATTCTAGAAACTATGAACCATTAATATTCATATAGGTGCTCTTTAAAATTCTAGAGCACATTCATGAAACGCATGGTTTATAAACACGAAGAAAATAGTTATCTAAGAAATAGTATGAGTTCACTTAATAACAACCTTTCCCAAAGTAAGCTCTTAACTTTTGTTCATGGATTTACTAGATGGCTAGATCAGGTGATATCATAGATATCCTGGTTTTAGTAAGAAATTTTACAAAATCTGTCATAATGACCTTGTACACAAAATAAATAAATGGGCACATTAAGTAAGTAAGTATAGGCTAAATAACAGAATAGTTAGGGACAGAGTTCTTTGAAAGACTATTCAATATATTTCCAATAGATGAGCCCAAACCAAGAATACTTAAATTAACAGGGATAAATGTAAAATCCTGTGTTTCTATCCAAATAATCAATTGTGTATATAGAGAATGGTGAAAACACAATTCGACTGAAATTCATGTAAAAAAAGATCTGTTGCCTTGTGGTTTGTCCTTTCTTCTCAAAGAGGATCATGACATCAGGGAAATAATGACATCTTCCAATTGACTTTGGTCTGAGTGAGGGAGGGCTGTGCAAAGTCACCAGTCTCACTTTCTCCTCCAGATCCATCTGGATTCAGTGGCCAGATACTGATCAGGAGGACTGGAGATGGCCCAGGATGCAATGGAAGACCTTGACCTTTTTAGTGAACCAAAAGTGTAATTTATTAAAAGCAGCTAATGCAATTATGGGCTACACCAGTAGTGGAGAACCTGTGGCCTCAAGGCTACATGTGGCCTTCTAGCTCCTTGGGTGCGACCTTTTGACTGAGTCCAAGTTTTACAGAACAAATCCTTTTATGAAGGGGATTTGTTCTGTGAAGTTGGGATTCAGTCAAAGGGCTGCACTTGAGGACTTACAGGGCTACATGTGGCCTCGAGGCCATAGGTTATCTATCCCTGGGCTATATAATGTCCAAATCAATACAAATAACAACCCTACTTCAATAGAAGTTGGTCTAATCATGTTATGATTTGTGTGTTCAGTTTGGGGCACCATAGTTTGAGAGATAGCAACTAAATAGACTTCATTTAAAAAATAGTGAGGATGGTAAGGGTCTGAAAACCATATCATGTAAGGAACAGTAAAGGAACTGATACGGTTAGTGAGGAGAAGTAAAGACTTAAAGTGGACAATGAGTATCTTCAGTGCTATCAAGGGTGGTCATGTGAAAGGAGTCGTTTTATTTTTGTCTTGCTCAGAAATTTCTAGGGCCAATGAGAAGAAATCACTCAGTCTAAGAAAGAACTTTATAGCATTTAAAGTTCATAATAATAGAATGAGCTTTCTCAGAAGACAGTGAGCTCCCCATCACTAGAAGTGCTCAAATAAAGCTAGATGTTATAGAAGGGATCTCTGAATTTTGTGAGAAGCTGAATTAGAAAACTTTTAATGTCTCCTCCAATTCTAAAGTAGGTTCAGCAAAACATTTTTAAATTTTATCATTTATTTGTTTTTTAATATTCTTTTCTTTTTAAACTTTGAGTTCTAAATTCTCTCTGCCTCTCACCCCCTCCCCCACCCACTGAGAAAGCCAGCAATACGATCGCAATTATATATATGAAATCATGCGACACATATTTCCATATTAGTCATGTTCCAAAAAACAGCAATAAAAATAAAATGGGAAAATATATATTTAATTTGCACTCAGAGTTCATCAGTTCTTTCTCTGGAGGTAGATCGAATTTTTTTTTTTAACCTTGAGCCCTTTGGAATAATCTCATATCATTGTATCGATCAGAGTAGCCAAGTCTTTCACAGCTGATCATCATTACAACATGGCTTTTACTGCATATGGTGATCTCCTGTTTCTCCTCACTTCACTTTGCATCAGTTCATGTAGGTCTCACCATGTTTTTTTCTGAAACCGCCGCCTTCATTCTTTTCCACAACACAATAGTACTCCATCATCATATGCTGACAATTTGTTCAGCCATTCCCCAAAAGAAGAGCAACCCCTCAATTTCCAGTTCTTTGCCAATACAAAAAGAGCTGCTACAAATGTTTTTGTACATATAGGTCCATTTCCTTTTTCTTCGATCTCTTTGGGATAGAGATCTAGTAGTGGTATTGCTTGGTCAAAAGACATGCCGCAGTTTTAAAGCCCTTTGGGCCTAGTTCCTAACTGTTCTCTAGAATGGTTAGAAGCAGTTCACCACTCCACCATTAGTTCATTGGTGTACCTATTTTCCCTCATCTACAGCATTTGTCATTTTTAATAGGTATGAAGTGGAACCTCAGTGTTGTTTTAATTCACCTTCACTAATCAGTAGTGATTTAAAGCATTTTTTCATATGATTATACATAGCTTTGATTTTTTTTTCTTCTGAAAACTGCTTGCTTATATCATTTGACCATGCATAAATTGGAGAATGGCTCTCATTTTTGTAAATTTGACTCAGTTTAGAAATGAGGCCTTTAGAGAAACTTGGCTGTAAAAATTTTTTGATATTACTTCATTGCTTACGGTACCTTATAACAAAATGTAATTTCCCTGATTCACTCTTTTAATTAGGTCCAGTTTTGCTTTTGCTTTGTCTGAGAACATGATTGCTACTTCTGCCTTTTTTTTTTTAGTTCAGCTGAGGCATATTAGTAGATTCTGCTCTACTCTTTTATTTGAACTGTGTGTGTGTGTG